GCGATGGGCTGGTCGCCGCCTCCTCCCCGAAGGGGCTTCTCCCTCCGTAGGGAGAGGGGGCTGCCTGACCCCACGGCGGCGGAGAGAGGGGTCGGGGCGGGGGGTGAACGTGGGAGGGCACGGTCACGAGTCGGGGTGGCCTTTTTTATCTCTTTCCCGTGGTACCGAGGAGTCGGTGAGCGGTGGGTTAGGCGGGGGCAGGGGTGTCTGCCCCCCGGCCCTGTGTTCCCGTGTTGTAGCCGCTCTGCCTTTCGTCGGCCTGGGCGTCTTCGTTGAAGCCGAATTAAATAATGGCCACAAACCGACTTAAGGTGTGTCGGCTGATATCATGTGCCTGTGGTGCGGGGAAGACTCCAAGTGGGGTATTGTTTAACTAAGAAGTAATCCTTTTTAGCGTTTATTTCAACAAGTGAGCACTTGCTTGTGGGGCTGAAAAGCCAACCAAGAGAAGAGTCTGTTTGAGCAATGTCACACGGAGACTTCTGGTCCTTATCTTTGTTACGTGTTTCTAAGAGTTTTAAGTGCTTCAAGACCATGTGCAAACATCTAAGAATGATGCACCTTATGCAGGTACTTGTGTGGGCGAGAGCGAGCTTGCTACTACATGAAAATTGAAAATACTTCAGAAGAGGTAGAAGGATGCAAGAAACTCTTAAAAAAAAAAAAAAAAAAAATATTCCCCAAACTCTTATTTAAAAACAGTGATGTGTCCAGCCCAGGAAGTTGTACCAGGCGACTGTAGCCGCAGCTTGCACTGGTAATAACTTTACACTAAGAGTGAGTTGCAAAAGAATTAAAAGCTGGTGGAGTAGAGAAACTATTGCAGAACTACTTAACCTGAAATTTGCAGCCTTCTTTCTTCTCTAACTTCTCGTGTGAATGACAAGATTACTGAAAACATACAGAGGTCTGTTTATAGTGTGCCAGGACTACCTCTGTATAAAGACTGATTGCATGGATCACTACAATAGTCGTAAATGTTTACTGTCATTTACTGACCAGCAGCTTTTTCTAGCTGTTTGTATCTGATCTAATGTTGTGCTTTGCCAAATACTATGGATTTAAATACATTTTGATTCATTTTAGGAATTTGTGCGAAATGTTGTGTGTTGCTTTGCTCTTTCCTATTAATGTTTACCACAACAACGCCTGAATCAGCTGTATCTAAAAATGGAACTTTAACTGTGTTTTATGGAAGACAGAGGGCCAGGATGCATGTGGAAGAACGTATCAGAAAGCCTGCAATGAAGAGGGAAAGTATTGTAAGCTGCTGATGGATAAATGTTGCTCTTAAGCAAAGTTTGGTTGGCAAGCTCTTAAATAACAGATTTTAGTAAGTGCTTCACAAGAAGCTGTGTTATATTTTAGTAGTGGAGAAACTGCACAGAGAGGCCAGCACTTGCCCAGAGTCACAGAACAGAGAACGCTGTGCCCAGAGCACGGTAATTAACTGTGTTTGTTGAAAGCCGGTATGTGTCAGTTTGCTGGGGACATGTTTTTTTTCAATAAGTCTTGCTCTGTCCAACCAAAATCCAGAAGCACTGAAGCGATGCTCATCGTCTCTCTGGAGCGAGGTGCGCTTTCCTGGAGTGACGGTTGTACATCATTTACAGTTTAATATACTTAGTGTACCATAACAAAGAAGAACTCTGTAGGAGAAGGGTGCTCTTGCAGGTGATGGATGAAAGTCCTTTGACTGTGCTCTGCCCTGCTGAAAAGAGGTGGTATACCCTTGATTTTTATTGCTGGAAGGTGAAGACTGGGAATAATGGCCCTTGAAAACTCTTCAGCCCAGAAAGAGTGTCATAGCTGTGCTGAGGTTAGCAAGATACTATTCCTATGTCACAAACGTGCATTTGAGGCCTTAGAACTTGTATGAGTAATTTGGCCTTAAATTTTAAAACTTCAGATATCCACTTCCCTAATTAATTGCATCACCGCTACTGCTATTGCTGTTGGTATGTCCTGATAAGGGAGCAGGTGAACGAGAGGACTGCAATGCATTGTAGTGCACTGTGCATCCACTTTAGTCAGCAAAAGCTTTTGCAACTGTGGGCTTCCCTCATTAGGAAAACACTATATGAGTCAAGGCAACTGTGTCCTCAGGTGTGTCTGATATAGCTGTACTGAATGCAGCTGGCTTTTTTTTTGTAGGGAAACTAGAAATGTGCCTGAGAGCAGTACCCTGGATGCTTTGTTGCATTTCAGCACTGGCACACGGCAGCCGAGTACGTGTTTTTTCCCAAGTGCTTTGTCTGTGGGGTGGCTTTCCCCAGTGATTCGGTTCCAGGCCTTTGGGAAGGTTTGCCCTCCAGTCTGTTGTTTGGTGGTCTTAAGCTAATTCACATCTGACTGTGTGGTGAGTACCCTGATCACCTCTGAGTAATGCTCGTGTGCTGCTCAGAAGCTGCTGACTCACTTCATTTTCGTGCTTTTTGCCTGTCCTCCTCCAGTGCCTCAGACTGGAGATGTGGTAGGGTCAAGGTAAGGTCAGGGAAAGAGGAAATGGGCATGAATGAGAATAACTGTGTGTTGTGGCAAGGATGATGATGCTGTAAAGACCCCTCTTTGATAACAGGAGGAAAAGATGATGGCCCTAATGGGTCCCCTGAAAAGGTATATAACCCATGTGTTAGGAACTGGGTAGAGCAGTCTAGTGATTATAGTGGGCCCACTGTTGGAGGATGCTGGGTTATGGTCCTGATAGTGGTCTGCTCTTCATTTTGAACTCCAAGCCTTTTTACTTCTATGCCTCCGTTTTCACCTTCAGCCCTTCTGTCTCTCTTGTTATATTCTGCCACAAAGAGCTTAACACTGAAGTCATTTTCTGCTGCTTGCAAAAGGGCTGACCTCGCTTGAGGTTTCTGCTGTAGCATAAATAACAGGAACAGGGAAAGACAATTAACCACTTCTAGGCTGGAAACAAGTCAGAATTAGATGTCACTGAGGATGGGTTTACTTGCCAGAAGGTTAGGAGCTGCAGGCGGAGACAAGCACACTGATTTCACGTGCATGTATGACTGTTTATTAATGTCTGAAAAAATTCTGACATGCATCAGATTTCCCTTTAATCTGACCAACAAAGCTAAACTTCAAGCACAGTTTTCCAGCAGGATCCAGGTGAAAGAAAAGATTTGCCTGTGCAAGTTCAGTTGGCAGATGATGCAAGTTTTTCTACCTATCAGAAAAAGGGGAAGACCGGACTTAAAACCTGCTGTTGAAAACAGGGAAAGAACAGATTTGGGGAAGTCTATGTGTAGAAATGGTACATGATTTTTAATCCATTTCAAGTGACAACTACTCTGTGACAGTTAAACTGTGTCCTGCTTCCCCCCTGGTCTCCACGTTATCTTCACGCGTTATACTTTGCCTCTTCTTGCCATGTTTTTCAGCACTTTGGAAAATACCATTACTACAGATGCTGCGTTGCACTTCTGGAAGGTTTGGAAGCATTCTGTCTGCAGCAGCCTACACCTGCACTTGAATCACTTATGAGGTTTTCCCCCTTCAAATCACAGGTGGTTTTCAGGGGTTAACAAGACTTTAGTTTATTTTGTGGTTCTGAGGATATGTTTAGATAGTGCTAAAACTTGCAGACACTTTTTTTTTTTTCCCCTTTATCTGGTATTAGTGAAAAACAATGCAGTAACATCAATGTTGCCAAATATGCAGATGGTAGGTGGGAGTGATACCACTATCTTCCCACAACCAACAAATGTAAAACAAGTATCTAGAGGATCAAGGTAATTGAATGAAACGGTTCATTCCTGTTGCCCAATAGTGGTAGAGCTACAACAGGGTTATAATCAAGCAGAAAGACAGGAAAGAAAGTTCAGCCTGAGCAGAAACTAGGAAACTGCTGTTCCCAAGTTCACGGAGCCTTCAGGGTGTCACTGTCTGGTTTTTACATGCCTATGCCTGTACTTCTGAGAGTGTGCATAAATACTGCATTTCACCCAAAGTGGAGACAGAGAAAAGCTTCATTCTGAATTTAAGCTTTGTAAAACTGTCTCAAATTTACTTGAGAAAGTTAGCAGGACAAAAGCTGAAAGCCAGGCTTTTGAAAGGATTTAGGCACCTGAAGTTGTGCAGAGATGTTGTAGAAAGTCCAAGCATGTGTTGATGTACCCGATGCTTAATTTAGTGCAAAATTTATAAAAATGTTACTGGATTCTTAGGAACTGTAACATCTGCGCGCTTGCAGTTCCAATAAGGTAAATCTTACTGGGTCAAGCAATCTCTGAATGATTTAGTTGGAAGTTTAATGTGGTTATCACTAGCCCTGTCTTTAGGTGCTGAGAATACAAGTTCATTGATTAGTTATATCACATTTGGTTACTTTTGAGGGATAATGTTTTCCAAACAACAGGGACTATTGAAGCTTGTTGAGAGATATCTTTTGCCTTCAACATGACTTGAATCAGGTCCAAAATGAAACCTCCCTTTATTATTGAACTTGGTAAGTCCGGTGCCTGTGATAAAGGCTTTTATTCTCTGA